TAAAGTTGCATTACAACCTGCATTTACTCGTGTCCCCCGAAATACCCTAAGACGTTATACACAAACTTCTTATTATAAGTATAGGAGTGGTTTGATTGAATTATTTCGTACTTTTGATGGTCGTGTTAGTTTTACAAGTGATACATGGACTTCTAGTTTTGGCGAACCTTTTCTTTGCATTACTGCTCATTGGGTGGATGATGATTGGTTTATTCAAAAACGTATACTATGTTTTCAAGCTATGGAAGAAAGGCATACCGGTTTTAACATCAAAGTTCGTATTTTGGATTGTTTAAAAGAATTTCACTTGAATAATAAAGTTTTTTCTTTGTCTCTTGATAATGCAACTGCAAACACAAAGTGTATTGACTATTTGAAAAATGACTCCGAGTTGAATTTGTTGTTGGGTGGTAGTCTCTTGCATGTTAGATGTTGTGCTCATATTTTGAATTTGTCTGTTCAAGAGGGTCTCGCTGAGTTGCAACCATTGCTAAACCCAATTAGAACAGTTATAAAATGGATTAGGATTACTCAGTCAGTTAGAAGAAAGTACATAGCTATGTGTAAAGAGAGAGGTCTTAAGAAAAGACAATGGTCTATTGATACCCCTACCCGTTGGAATTCTACTTTCAAGTTGTTGAGTGATGCTATAAAGTATCGTGATATTTTGACCCAACTTTACAATGAGACTCGTGTTGATCCTACTGAGTTAATAACCGAAAGTCATTGGACTAATGCTTCTTTTGTTCGTGATGTTTTAAATGCTTTTGATAGTGCAACTCATATTTTCTCTTATATTTATGAGCCTAACGTTCATTTAGTCATAATTGAGTGTGTTAAAGTTGTTCACACCATCGAAGAGCATATGAAGATTGATGGACTTCGTCCCGTTCTTGATAGCATGAAACGTAAGTGGCATACTTATTTTAGTGAATTTCCAATCATTTATGGAATTGCTGCTATTCTTGACCCCGGTGTCAAAGCTGAAGGTTTGGAAAATCTTTTAGAATTTTATTATACAAGTTTAAGTATCGATTATGATGTTAGTGAATATATTAACAAATGCAAATCTGTTTTGGGAGACCTTTATGATCATTATGCATCTATTTATGGTTTTGATTTGGCAACACCAACTACTACTAGCACTTCCGATTCTAGATTTGGTTTTCTTGATAAAGTTATGAAAAAAAAACACAAAGCATCTACATCATTCTCATCATCATCTTCTTCAACACTTGCTATTAATGATTATTTGTCATATCAACATGAGACCAACAACAACTTTCAAATTATAAAATGGTGGCAAGAACATAAAAAAAAGTTTTCCTATATTGGCGAGAATTGCAAAAGATATACTTGCAGTTCCCGCTTCATCTGTTGCTTCCGAGTCTGCTTTTAGTGCAGGTAGAAGAGTGTTAGATGAAAAAAGATCTCGCTTAACTCCGGAAAGCATTCAAATTTGTGTTTGTAAGAAAGATTGGGATCAAGCTGAAAGAAGAACTCAAGGTTTAAAGGAAGACGAAGACGATGAAGATGATCCTGTGATGATATTGGAGTCGTCAACGGATGATGCAGCTTCCGGGGATGATGATGCAACAAACATGGGTGGCTAGAAAAGTCTAAATCAGGTACGCTAAGAACTACGTGGGCTTTGATTCTTTCGGGATACGTAGGCAACTTATTTTTCGAAAATTACAATTTAATTGCAAAATTAAATTTTAGTTTTCTAAAGATAGGTCCAAGCCCCCCCCCCCCCCAAATTTCAAAAGAAGTACAATATAAGAACTACGCTGGCTTTGATTCCTTATTTTATAATATAAGGATACGTAGGCATCTTAATTAAGAGCAAGCCATCAAATTGTTAATTTTGTAAAAATTAAAACACCACACAACCCACCCGACCCTAACCCACGAACCCACCCGACCCTAACCCACAAACCCACCCGACCCTAACCCACCTAACCCACAAACCCACCCGACCCTAACCCACTAACCCACCCGACCCTAACCCACCTAACCCACAAACCCACCCGACCCTAACCCACTAACCCACCCTTCGACCCACCCTAACTCACTAACCCACCTTGACCCGTCTAACCCACGAACCTAGCTCGACCCACCCATGACCCGTCTAACCCACAAACCCAGCTCGACCCACCCACGATCCGTCTAACCCACAAACCCAGCTCGACCCACCCACGACTCGTCTAACCCACGAACCTAACCCTGGTGTGTCCAACTTCTCCGACCCAACCCACGACCCGGCCCACCCTACCCTACGTGTGTCGTGTCGTGTGTCATGAAACCCCAACCCGCGACCCACCTAACCCTAACCCAGCTCGCACGACTCGCACGGTGGACACCTCTACCCATGACAACCTTAATTAATGACACAAAAAATAAAACAATAATGTGGTTTAATAATAAAACTACATTCATATATATTTGGTTCAACTTAATCATTTTTCGTTTGAAATCATGCATATTAACTCTTTTGTACAATTGAGCCACAATATCACTACAAATTGCTTTCTCTGTTTTTTATTAGTTGACATCTTTGATTTTGGGACACAAATTAAGGAGAGGTAAAAGGGAAGAACAAAATACAAAAATACACCTTATTTACCTACCCCACAATTCCACTAGCATGCCTATCCCTACCATTTCAACTGCCCTTTCCCCAAAGACTGTAAAACACCAGCCACCACCACCTTCACCACCTCCACTTTTATTTTACCCTTCCCTTTAATTCGCAACCACTAGACCCCATCATCGTTGACCCCTTTTTTCGCAAAGGAAAATTGAACCCAAGCCACAAATTAAAGTACTCAAACTACATCTTCCTTAAACTCGTGGTGTTGATGTTGGTGATGAGGGTTCCGATGTGTGGAATTGAAAGAGAATTTGATAACTGGGGGTTATAGTAGTGGTGGTGCGACGGAGGGAGGAGAGTGAAGGAGTTCACGGCTTCACGGTCGATTGGATTTTAATTAGAAGGCAAGGAGAAGAGGAGAGATAATGTCGGCGGCAAAGGTAGGATCCTTGCTGCCATTAATGTTACTTCGCCATTTTAGTTTTAAAAAGCTTCCATTTTTTCCTCGACCCCAAGCACCCAACTCCCTCACCAACCTAAACAATGTTTGAGAATGAGAAATTAGAGGAGCTTCATACTTGTTTGAGTTGGAGGTAGAAGAAGAGAGGCAACAATATGGGATGACGGTGGCTGTGAAGGAGGAGAGATAAAATGGAGTGGTATTGGCCTTGTGATTGAAAGGGAGGAGAGAGAATGCTAGCATCTGGTAAGGTGAAGGTGAAGGGAGGAGAGAGAATATAAGTGAGAGGGTATATTTGACATTTTACCACACAACACCTACCAAAAATAAAAACGTGTCAACTAATAATAAACTTCCCAAAGAAGAATACGTGTCAACTTAATAAAAACGGAGGTAGTACAAAATAGGGGTTAAGAGATTTAAACATATAATCTATCACACATATGCCCTTAGTCTTATTATTTAGCTAAGACCTCATAATAATATAAGTTAAAAGCATCATATTGACCGTGTTTGGTAAATAGCTAATTTGGACAAAGTTAGCTTATTTGACCAATATTAGATTTTTACTATCAAATTAAATAAGCTAATTTAAAGTGTTTGGTGGAAAGCTTATTTAAAGAGTTTATTCTACTAAATAAGATCTTTCATTAGCTTATTCAATATCTTAAGGTGAAATGACACTTATACCCCCATTTAATTTAAAATCTTATCTCATCTACCTGCCCCCATAATTAGCTTATTATTGGTCATTTCACATACTCAAACTTTAAACAATTAGCTAATTACCAAACATTTTTATACAATCAGCTAATAACAAAATAAAGTTAGTTAAATCAATTAATAAAATTAACTAGTCAAAATCAGTTAACACAATCAGTTTTAGCTTTTCACCAAGCACGACCATTATTTATACAATCTTATTATATTGGAACATAACTTATATAAACAATTCTCTAGTAAACTTAGTTTCACTTTAGTATAGTTAATTTGTCCAAACACATTCAAATTTATTAAAACCAATTTCAGATCACATGAAAATGTCAAAATAATTTGAACATAACAGTGTCACAAATAAAGTTTTTTAATATGCTTGAAAATTTTATACATAGCACTTGCTATATACTATAAGAAGTTAAAAATGAAAAACACAAATGAAATATAACATTGATTACATTGATTTGTATGTGATTTTGTCATGCATTTCTAAATTAATACTTTCTCTGTTCTTTTTTACTTGACTTGTTTCTTATATTATGTTTGTCAATACAAAACTTTAACATTTAATAACTTTAATTCTCCATAAGTAAAAATTATAAAAGCTATATATTATGATAGTACTTATTGAGACGAATTCAAAAAGATCCCATAAGAATATATTTTTCCTTACATATTATTCACAAAAGACGATCAAAGGATGGGTGGTGAATAGTGTAAAAGTCAAAGCGGATCAAGTAAAAAAGAACGCATAAAGTATCAAATTAGAAAATATATTAAACACCTCTTTCAAAAAAAAAAAAAATATATTAAACACCCATTATTAGCCCTGAGGGCTATATAAAGCTACCCTTCTCATATTGATTTATTTATATATTATACTCCATTCGTCCCTTATCTACTATCACGTGTCTCATTTTGGGGAAACCAAAATTACATGCCTATTTCTATTTAAAGAATGTACTTTTTGACAATATTTCCTCTTTTTGATGAGTTGTCATAATTTTATTTTATTTTTGGTACTAATTTTGACATCATTTTCCAACACTTTTGCTCTTCATCTCTTCAATAATTACCAACTATATTTTATTTCTCTCTATTTCTCCCTCTAACTTCACATGCATATTTGTATCTCCCAATTATGGGTTTTAAGGAATCTCTAAGTTCCTTAATTCCCTTGAAAAATGGAAAATAGGCTTGTAGATAAGAAAAGGAGGGAGTAAAATTTCTTTTTGGACCATGAGATCGTAGAACATTAAAATAATGGATAAAGACACATTGGAATCCATTAGCTAAACAACTTCTCAAACCAAAGAAGCCAAAAATAAAAGACCCACCACTATATTCTATTACAAACCTCTTCAATTCCCTCCCATTTCTCAATTTCTTATATCCCCCCCTCTTTCCCTTCTTTCTTCGATCCCATTTCACACGCACATAATTACACCAAATTACACTCTACTATGCACATGACATGACCTCCTCATTCTTCTAAAATCTCCCACCCTTCTTCTTCTCTTCTCATTCTCTTCTTTCCTCCTTCTCATGACACCTTTGTTAGGCCTCATCTTCATGGGTATTCTCACTTTTATCCCTCCCGACTCCGCCACCACCACCTCACGTACTAATAAGCCGAAGTCGAAGCCGAAACACGGCCGTAAATACAAACACCATAACAAAGAAGAAAAACAAGAGAATAAGAAGCAACAAACGCCAATAAAACAATCAACGAACCCGAAACCAAAGCAACCTTCATCATGGGACCAGATCAAGAACCTTCTTACTTGCAAGCAAGTAGAAGGTTCTAGAGTTCATGACCCTTCTAAAGGTAGTAGTGTATCCTCTTGTGGGTCTATGTGTAGTTTCCGTGACGTAGTTCATGGTAACACTAGGGTTGTTCATCGGCCCGATAACTCGTCCCCTGAAAGTAGCTCATTGGGTCAAGAGGCTCGGCTCCTGCACCGGGGTAAGACCGGTGCAGGGTCCATGTCGAGCCGGTCTTTATCGGGTTCGGTTAGATCGGGTTCGAGTGTGACAACTGCGCATTCCATATCGTCCAGAGGGATGCCATTGAGGAAGTTGTCCGGGTGTTATGAGTGCCATATGATTGTTGATCCTAGCAGGTTTGTTATTTATATAATCTATTATTAGTAATGAAGTCGGGTTTAATTAAGTTAGGACGAACAATAAAGAACCAAATTTAATTATGTTAGTCGTACTAGTAGAGTTGGTAAAATTATTAATGAAATTGAATTATCAGGTATCCAATAATTCCAAGGACAACTGTATGTGCATGCCCACACTGTGGAGAAGTTTTTCCAAAAATTGAAAGCTTGGAGCATCATCAAGCAGTTAGGCATGCAGGTAATTAATTTTCATGTTCTTTAATACAGAATATTCAGTAAAAATAAATTAAATTCGTAACAATAAATTTACTATACAGGCATTAAAAATTATCGGATTTTAGCTTAGTGTACAGAGTATTATAAATTTACTCATACTTTATAAATTACTTTTGAAGAAAGATAAATATTTAAGGTCGGTCGAAAAGTCAAGTATATATGCGAATTTTTTTGCCGGATATTTTGTAATCTGATACGAGTATAATAATAATAATTACCAATAAGGTTGTAGAATTAAATTGTAGAAATAAGTGTATATTAATGGAGCTTGGTCATTGGGCACTTAAGATTCAAATTTTAATTTTGGAAATGAATGAGATGTCAGAGCTTTAAAGAAGTAAGGTACTTTTATCAAAAACTAATTCAATGTCCTACCAAAAATAACACTGAAAGCAAAAACAATTTATTTTAGGACAAGAAAGCAGAAATGTAGTGTAAGTAGAAAAGGTGGTTGTTGAATAGTGATTTTTTAAAGGTCTTTTTAACTTTGATTGGCCAATTAGTAGTTCATCCATTTGTGCCATGCTAATACTACTAGTATCTGGTAACTGAATTTTTACAGTCAAATAAAACAGTCAAAAGTTTTGTGATAATTATGTCTCATAAAACTTGTACTTGTTTGTAGCTCTAGTTCATCATCTACACCACTAAAAAGACAAACTTTGTTTATTTGATGTGGCTTTTTAGGTTGTTCAGTATATTTAGCTGCCTAGTACTCCGTAATCGATTATACTAATCTAAATAAGATGTTACACTAGCTAGTAAACTCTGTTACATAATCGTTGATGATATAGAGTACGAGCTTAATAAAACTATGAAATCGTCGTTTTACCGTTCTAATAATAAAAATGTTACACTAAAACTAGAAGACTTTGTTACATAGTCGTTGTTGATGATATAGAGTACGAGCTTAAAAAGGATTCGTTGCAATTTAGTTTTTCTTTTTGGGTTCGAATTCTGAAAATGCAACAACAATATATAGATCTGGAGAGACTATACCCATTAGAAATGTCATTTGAATTGACTAGAATTCGAATTAATTGCAATCCTTGTAATTAAATAGGGTTTGAATATTTTATGTTGACCAAAGTCCAAAAGAGAAGTAGTGAGATTTGAGGATATATAAAATTGAGGGGGTGGTGGGGAGAAATAACGAGTTTAATAATTTTACCATGTCAAGATGCTAAATGTTTAATTATGCGAGTTTTTTGGACCACCTAGAAGCAATTTAATTCAAATAAGGAAGTAAATGATGAGAGTGAAAAGGCCCACCGACAACAAATAAAAACCAAAAAAATCGAATTCGATTCCAAGATGTGAAAAAATTAGATTACACAATTAAAGCACTAGTTCAATGTGGTACAAGCTCAATAAATGTCATATACTTTTGTTTTGAATAGAAATGTCATATACTTGATTGTTGTCAAACTAGCTAATTACTTTGTCACATTATTCTTTTAATTGGCTAATTATTTGTTAGAATTACTTATTTTAAACTGATATTCTGCTAGTAAATTTCAAATTATATAGAGGAAAAAAGCTAACAAACGTCTCGGAAGAGTTGAATAACGTAGCTAAAAGTAAAAATATTAAACTAAAATGGGCATTAATTAAAAGTAAAATAATGTAATGATATAAGCAATGTCTTTAAAAATTAAAGTGGGATGAACAAAAAAGATTAAACTAAAAATATACTATAAGCAAATTTCAAATTATGTAAAGGAAAAAGCTAACGAACGTGTCAGGAGAGTTGAATAAGGTAGCTAAAAGTAAAAATACTAGTATTAAACTAAAATGAGCATTAATCAAAAGTTGAATTATGTAATGATATAAGCAATGTCTTTAAAAATTAAAGTGGGATGAAAAAAAAATTGAAGAGATGAATATTATAATAATTACAAGTACTATTGTTATTATTGTTCAATTTTGTTTTTAAAATTTTATTATTATGGTGGATAGTGTCGGAGCTGGGTCCGGAGGATTCGGGTAGAAACATAGTGGAGATAATATTCAAGTCAAGCTGGCTAAAAAAGGATAACCCAATATGCAAGATCGAACGGATACTAAAGGTCCAAAACACACAAAGAACGATCCAACGGTTCGAAGATTGTAGAGATGCAGTGAAATTAAGAGCAAATAACAACACAAAGAAGAACCCAAGATGTGCCGCAGATGGGAATGAACTACTAAGATTTCATTGTACTGCTCTTACTTGTTCTCTTGGTGCACGTGGTTCTTCTAACCTTTGTGGCTCTGTCCCTGGTTGCGGCGTTTGTACCATCATTAGGTAATTTTCTTACTCTTTATTAAACGGAAATTTTGCAAAAAAACCACCTTTTATAAGTAATTTTTTGCAAGAAACCACCTTATAAATTTTTTATTACAATGACACACCTTAATCAAAATTTTTTTCCAATTACACACCTTAGGCTGGAAAAGAGGGTTTGACCCTATTTTCCGGCGTTGACCCGACCACGTGCCTCACACGTGACCTCTTAAAAACACCCAACTACACCACCCATCCAAACGCCACTGAAACCGCCTTACCCACCCCACCACCACCAGATCTACATTCACTTCTTACCCACCACCACCACCAGAGAGAGAGAGAGAGAGAGAGAGAGAGAGAGAGAGGTTTTGGTGGTGGTGGGGTGGGTAAGGTGGTTTTGGTGGTGTTCTGGTAGGTGGCGTAGTTGGAGAGTGATTTTAAGAGGTCACGTGCTTCGCACGTGGTCGGGTCAATATAGGGTCAAACCCTCTTTTCTGGCCAAATGTGTGTCATTGCAAAACAAAATTTGATTAAGGTGTGTCATTGCAAAAAAAATATTTGATTAAGGTATGTCATTGCAAAAAAAAAAAATTATAAGGTGATTTCTTGCAAAAATTTCTTTAAAAGATGGTTTTTCAAAATAATCTTAGTACAATTGATTTTTTCGCTACATTTTAATTACATGTGTCGACTTACAAAAGTGATTATTAATATTATTCATTGTTGATTTGTGTAAAAGTTGACATGTTGCAATTAATAAAAAAAATATATGGATTATGGAGTACTATAGGATTAAAATCAAATAATGTGTTTTAGTTTGTCTAATTGGATAAGCATTACATGGTTTCCAAAAAAAAAAAAAAAAAAAAAAAAAAAAAAAAAAATTGGATAAGCATTATTAGCAATAATCTCCTAGAAGACCATCCTATTACTTAAAGATCGATTTTAGCTATACATATTGCTTCTTCCATGCGAAACTTATCACATACCAATTGAGTGTTTAACTTATATAAGAAGTATTTAATTACTCAAGAAGTTAAGATAGTGTCAAAAGTAAAACCACCCCCCCCCCCCCTCCCCCTTTTTTTTGGCTATGTGATAACTAAGACAATTATATAGAAAACCTTCCTATTTTATTAAGTTAGTTGATATTGGAAATGTGTCAAAGTAACCCCTTTTTTAGGCCATGTGATAAGTAAGACAATTTTCTAGAAAACCTCCTTTTTTGTAAAGTTAGCTCGTTGATATTGGAATAAATAACCTCATTGGGTTTGACAATATTACTTGTAAGGAAATTTACTTGTTAATATAGCTTTATAGGACATGAATTCTACTTTGTAATAGATATTGAAAATTTATGAAAAATTAAAACCTATGTATCACTATATTATTTGGTGTAACAATTATACAAAATACTGGCAATAAAACATTAAGCGGTGGAAGTGTCACTACATTAGTTGTGATAAAGTTTTTATTTTAATTTGAATTATGTTTATAAATAAGAAGTGATTTTTCTAGACAATATTTATTGCTATCCGTCTGTCACGATAGTGTATCTTGAATGGTTGATGTTTATCTTTTAAAGAGTCTTACGGTGAACAATTCAGCACTACACTAATAAGATCCGAGTACTAGACGAGTACAAGAACAAAGGACAAACATTTAATTGTGCCAATTAATCTTGTTATCAACCCACTTCCCGTTTACATGAATAGTGCACATCTCAACTTAACTTTTCTTCATTTTTTTTGGCATTTTCTCCTCAACTTTTCGCAACTCACACCATCTAAAAACATGCAAATTATGGTCCAATCACAAAATCATTACCCCATTATTTTCTCTCTAATTAAATTAATATTTGTAGTATTAACTTGTTTTATTTGTGGGTGAACATTAGACATGGGTTCCAAGGAAACATGGGAGTGAGGACAACCGCAAGTAGTGGGAGGGCCCACGACTGCTTAGATTGTACGGATGGACGTAGGGCAATGCTTGTATGCCGAGTAATCGCTGGGAGGGTGAAGCGCAGCGCCAACGACGCGCCGGCGGAAGAGGAGATCATGTCCCTCGAGGGTCCATCGGGTAACGCCACCTCCTACGACTCGGTTGCCGGTTCCGCAGGAATCTACTCTAACCTCGAAGACTTGGTGGTGACTAACCCCAAGGCTATTCTTCCTTGCTTTGTAGTTATTTATAAAACCCTAACCACAGCCTAGCTAGTATTTGTAATTTTGGCTAACTTGCAAGAAGAAATTAACCGAGTGCCTTGTCACGTGCTGACTAGTTAAGTTGCAGACGTACTTGTAATGATCTTTTTGCATTTTCGTAATTAAATTAAAGTAATTCCCACCTTTAGTTTCAGTTAATCAAGTTACAGTTTTTCTTTGTTGTATATATTAATTGTACGTATAATGTATTTAAATTAAATTTTCATTTGTTTTGTTTATTTTGTTTTATCTACGTACCGTATGATTAGAGAATGGTTTAATTGAATTAGTTCAGCTGATCAACTAAATTAATGTGTGTAAGTTTGCCATATTCTTTGACAACAATCCAACAACTACAAAATAAGTAGATCTAAATTTGTTAGCTAGCTTCGGATAACTATATTATCAACCTTTAATATTTCAGTTATAATTGATATATAATAAACATCATCAAAGATCTACTTAAATGGATCAAATCTAAGTTAGCTAATTTAAGTACGTAATTAGCTACGCGAACTAATTTGTCCTTTTCTTAAAGTGACAAAAAGAACAGAACAATTAATTATTGATTAAGAAAGAGTAGCCATGTAATAGACAACTAAGCTACTCACTTTATTAAGACATGGAGCTTTGAGAATTCATTATGTGATGAGTTTTTGTTTTCTAACAAAACTTACAGTTTTTTAGGCAACTAGTTAAATTATCCAACTTTGTAATTATGTTTAAGCTTATTAATTTATAATAATCCAACCTAGCTAGTATGATTGTCGTTGTCTTAATACATCAGATGTAGTAGTACTACCACAATCATTATGTTAATTGTATGCATGACAAGCTGCTGTACATGACTTTTGGAATGAATCAAATTTCATAAAATCTATACTAATATATTAAAAAGTGTTTATAAAAACATCCATGTATCACATAGATTCTTTTAAATTACGCCACGTCACTTCACAAACACTTTATGATGCCACATCACCTACCCAACATCTCTTTATGCCACATCATCACTTCTTACAAAAATACAAGTTTAAGAGGATTTGAACACCCAACCAGTTATAACAAAGTTGGCTATTTTCCTATCTTAGCCCATTATCAAGCATGTTATAAATATGAAAAAGAAATATACATAAATGTAAAATACATGATTTAATTATTAAAAAAAATAATATCGATTTCAGATTTCAAAATCCTTAAAAAAATACCCCAATTACACGATTACAAAAGTAGCAACCCGGGGCAACGCCCGGGCTACTCACTAGTGAGAGATAAATGATAAATTAATTATATGTATTTAATACCTAAGATTGAAAATGAAACAAAGGTAGATAAAGCATGAAGCTATGTATTGCATAAATAGATAAACTCCTATGTACGTAGGTTCTTATGATATAGCAGATATATATACCGAAATGTGTCCACTAATTAATGTGCTTAAACAACATTCCTATGCTAGCTTGGTGGAGTTAGTGGAGAACTCACCTTGTGACTTTGAGGTCATAAGTTTGAGCCCCACCAACTACATTTGCTTGGGCGTAGGGGGCTTCCCTTACCTCCCCCCTCTATTCTCAAGCGTTGACCTGCGGAGCCAGTGGCGGACCCAATTAAGTGACATGGGGGGACAGCTGTCCCCCCATTTTTTAAAAAAAAAATTAAAAAAAAAGTGAAAAAAACAAAAAAAAAAAAAAAAAGCAAAACGCGACAGAACGAAGAACAGCACTCAGTCTACAGTCTTCACTCCTCCAATTCGCCATTGCCTCCACTAGTCCACTGAGATCGACCGTCGAGGCGTGCGTCGCTGCTCCACCAACCAGGCAACCACCGCCCTGCGTGCGTCGCTGCTCCTCAGTTCCTCACCAGTCTGCCAGTCACCACAGCACCACTTCGGCAAATCGGCAGTTCGGAAGCCACTTCACTAGCTGCGTGCGCCGCCTGCGCGCTGCCTATGCCGGTACGCCCTCATCGTCTGACCTTCGAGCCTCGGCCGTCTTCGCTTCATCAAATCCATCAATGGTATGTCTTGCTAACCCTAATTCGAAATTCCCAATTTGAAATCCCCAATTGTTAATCCTAATTTCCAGTTTTTTGTTGAATCATTGTTAATTTTAATTGCAATCTTTGTTGAATTTTTATTTTAATTGCAATTTTAATCTTAGGTTTTATTAGTATGCAATGATGTGAATTGTGGAAATTGATATATATTTTTCAATTTAATTAGGAAATGTCAAATGATTCACCTAATTCAAACAAATCCAAGCCTACTAGAAAACAACCCGATGTTCGACAATTCATGTTTAAAAGAAAGAAACTCCATGAAAATGAGTCCAATAACTCCCCTTCATTAAGCTCCCCTCAAAGTCAAGAAGATGATTTGAAATGGGTGGTTCAAGTACTTGTAATGTACCATTGGAGGAAAATTTGGTATACGATGTTGAACTTCTTCCTCATGATCCGGGAAAAAGTATAAACATAATGGATTACCCCCCAAATGAACGAAATGCAGTTAGGAGGGGTTATATTCTTAAAAAACCTTGCCAACCAAAAACACATGACTTTCCTCAAAGACAAGTGTCTGGTTTACGTCGCTTTAGTGTTCATTGGTTCAAGAAATGGGATTGGCTTGATTATAGTATTGAAAAAGATGCCGCATTTTGTTTTGTATGTTACTTGTTCAAGAATGAAGTTGATAGTTATTCGGGGGGTGATGCATTTGTTGATGGAGGGTTTAGGGCATGGAATAAACCGGAAAGATTTGAGAAGCATGTTGGTGGAATTAACAGTGCTCATAATCTTGCTTATGAGAAATATGTGAATTTAAGAGATGGAAAAAAAAAATCAATCTTGAATGTGTTTGACAATGCAAGTGAGGTGATTAAAAGTGAATATTTTATCCGCTTGAATGCATCTTTAACTTGTTTAAGATTTCTTTTGGGGCAAGGTTTGGCATTTCGTGGACATGATGAAAGCGGGGAGTCATATAATAGGGGTAATTTCCTTGAGCTTTTGAAATGGTTAGGAGAATAGGTTGAGGAAGTAAGACAACATACTCTTGAAAATGCACCTAAAAATTGTCAAATGATTTCTCCTTCTATTCAAAAGGACATTATTAATTGTTGTGCCAAAGAAACAACTAGGTGCATAATAGAAGAAGTTGGTGATGATTACTTTGCGATATTAGCCAATGAGTCAAGTGATGTGTCCCAAAAAGAACAACTAGCTCTTGTTTTACGATTTGTTAATAGAGATAGTGGAAAGGTAATGGAGCGATTTTTAGGCATTGTTCATGTTTGTAATACTACCGCTTTAACTCTTAAAGATGCAATCATGTCTTTACTTGTTGAACATTCATTGAGTCCATCTATGATAAGAGGGCAAGGGTACGATGGAGCTAGCAACATGAAAGGTGAAATAAATGGTCTTAGGACTTTGATTATGAATGATACTCCAAGTGCCTACTACATACATTGTTTTGCTCATCAACTTCAACTAACACTAGTTGTCGTTGCTAAAAAGAATGATAGTTGTGGTTGGCTTTTTGAGATACTTGCAAATTTATTGAATGTGGTTGGAGTTTCTTGCAAGAGAAGAGAAATGATTCGACAAGATCAAGCTCAAGAAGTTGCTCGAGCATTGGATGTAGCGGATATTGTGAGTGGATCGGGTTTAAATCAAGAACTTGGTTTGAAAAGGCCCGGGGATACTCGTTGGAGTTCTCATTACAAGTCTCTTTCAAACATCATTATCTTATTTCCTACAATTGTTAAGGTACTTGTACACATTGGGAAGCATGGTGTATCGGAAGATAAGTTCAAAGCTCAAATTTTTTTAGGACAATTAGAGTCATTTGACTTTGTTTTTATTGCTTACTTGATGTTGACTATTTTTGAATACACTAATGATTTGTGTGTTTCTTTGCAAAGAAAGGAGCAAGATATTGTAAATGCCATGGAACTTGTCACTTACACAAAAATGGTGTTGCAAAAAATGAGGGAGCAAGGATGGGATACTCTCTTAAACAAGGTAACTTCATTTTGTGCTAAACATGGTATTGTTGTTCCCACTATGTATTCTCCTTATGTTCCTCAAGGAAGATCAAGACGTTTTGTTGAAGAAGCAACAAATCAACATCATTTTCGGGTTTGAATTTTTTTAAGAGTGATTGATTTGCTTCTTCAAGAACTTGATGATCGATTTAATGAGAGGAATATGGAGATACTAATATGTATGGCTTGTTTAAGTCCTAAAGATAACTTCTCATCCTTTGATAAAGATAAGGTACTTAAACTTGCCTCTTTTTATCCCGAAGAATTTTCAAGCTTTGATTTGATGACTCTTGAATGTCAACTTGATATATTCATGGAGAATATGCTAAATGATGAAAGATTTCAAGGTTTAAATGACCTTAATTCTCTTTCTATGATGCTTGTTAAAACTAATAAGCATAAGACTTTTCCTCTTATTTATTTGCTTATCAAGTTGATGTTGATTCTTCTGGTTGCCACGGCAAGTGTTGAAAGAGTCTTTTCCGCAATAAGTTGCGAAATAGCATGGGTGATCAACTTATGAATGATTGTTTGGTCACTTTTATTGAGAAGGATGTCTTCTTAAGAGTTTCCGATGAAAAAATTGTTGATCGCTTCCAAAATATGAAGACTCGAAGGATGAAAGTGTAATTTTAATGTAATGTTTATGTAAATTTTTTTCATCATTTTGAATTGTATGACTAAGTATGTTTTTTATTTTCGAAATTTTAATACTAAGTATTAACCAATTTGTGTGTTTGAGTTTTTTTTTTTGTTTTTATTTTTTGTTAAGATTTTTGTAAGTTAAGCATTTTGTCCCCCCGAATTGAAAATCCTGGATCCGCCACTGTGCGGAGCTGGACTGTCTTAACCTGTGAGAGGTGCCGGTTCAATAGGGCCAGTGCTTAAACAACACTCCTATGCTTGTTTAGAGGCTTGGACACAACGCAACGTTGCGCTAGGGGTAACCTTACTACCTTAGTCCTTAGGCGCTTCAATCATTCCTAGCTAGGCATGATCCACAGCTTAGTTTGCGAGCTATGTCATGCCATATCAAAGGGCCTTTGAGTTAGGCATAGGATGGTAAAAAACCATCATGGATAGATCAAGAATGCCAAGCTTGGGAAAACCATTAGCCATACAAGATACAATTGTCGTTACATTAATTTTTTCTAAACCATCATCATTATTTACCTTCGCAATTATTTCATTAGAATAATCTAGGTATATATAAAACCTATGACAATTTAAAATTTGATGTAGATTTGAATGCAATTTAATTTGCTATTCATTGTTGATGGTTTTATATTAATTGGTTCGAGTCAAAACCAATTTTCATTATATTATCTTTTTTTTTTTTGAGGAATATATTATCTAATTTTGAGTAAAGGAATAATTCATTAATCGATCAGACGATCAAGTAGTTTCATTTGTGTAATCACGTACAACTCAAATTTTGTGAGTCTACTATAGGTCTCCAATATGCTATGTCTATCTTTATACATATAGCAATCTTCAATAGTATGGTATATCTTATTAGCTAGTAAGAACAGATGCTCTTATTTTTGCAACGGAAATAAGATTACTTGCTCTAATTTGAGTTATTTCTCTAATAGAATTAACACTTCCTAACAATTGCCAATTTGAGTTATTTCTCTAATAAATGACACGTTAGTTTTATAAGTTAAGGAAAAATAAATAATACATCAGCAGGTTCTGTGTGACTTTGTGTGGCTAGTCACATGGTGTTGAATAATAAGAGTTCTTATTACTGCATATGATGAGTAACCCCAGGTCATATGTACTGTTCATGATGGTAACCTTATTTTGTACATAAGATTAACTCTAATTTATTATACGAGTAACAATATCAATTCAATTAAAGAAGTAACCTCATTTAATTTGTTTATTGGAGTAATCAATCTTTTTTCGCTTTGAAAAGAAAAATTCTATTTGATGTTTGTGAGGGTAGTTTATTTTTTCATTGGAGTAACTTTCATTTATAAAGGTTACCTCATTATCAACCTCGTGACTTAATTTCATTAAATGTGAAGTAGTCACACTAATTAACCATATATAAGAGTTTGTCATATAGTTAAGTTGGAAAAATCTCCAAAACAAAAATTCGAAAATATAAAACATACCGAAGAATCAAAGATTTGTTTGACTTTGACAAGACAAACCTCCAATAGACAAGGCAGGTCTGTGATTCAGAAGATTATATTGTTAAATACAACATATACAAATCTATAATTGGGTTTAATAATGTTTGAATGCTGATAATTGGGGTTCACATGCCACAGTGCCTTCTAAAATAGATAGGCACATGAAGTATAATGTTAGCTTCTATTTGTTTGAATTTGACGAAAACTTCACTTCAATATTCAACTAATCCATGACTAAAGTTATTGATATATTCTCAATTTTTTTTTTTTTAAATAAAGATTGATTCATAAATAAAAAGTCATACAACATATATAAAGATATTTAAATCTATTAAATACATGACAATAGAATCAAATAAAAATATCCTTTCAACAGAGCTACGATTATTGTTGCAGATCGTACATTCTTCATACCCTCTTTCATATCGCTTTGATTTACATCCTTTTTCGGCGAGGGGGTTTATCAATCTGTTGTAGTCGTGAAGAAAGTTTTCGTTTGATTCATCTGATTGTAATCGAAGGATTAACCTTCTTTTCGATCACGCACAAATCTTTACCCATGAAACAACTTGTACCATACTAAACTCAGATTACAAAAACAAAACTAAAACAAAGCCCACCATAGGGGCACTTATCACTACAAGAAAATTACCTTTTCGTAGCGAATTTTCTAACCTTTGATATCGATTGTATTTGCTACAAAAAGTTTTCCCAACGAATGGTTATTTGATACAATATCCGCCGTTACCATAGCCGCCTTTAGTAGTGTTTTTCGATACTGCTAGGGTTGTTCTCAATAATCGATACTAAAATCTACATCCAATCATGGTGATTATTGTAGCGATTATAATCACTATAAATGTTGAACTCATTTTCTTAAAAAAAAATAATAAAAAAAAAAAATCAAACAAATGATCTACAAAAGATTTGAACATGCAACCTCAAGCACTAATAATTTTACCAATAAGTTATGACATATTTTATATATTATTTGTCAAACAATATTTGTATATCTAGCGTAGAAAGGCTTTTCGTATCAATTTTTGGGTTTTAGTGCCGATTGTAAATGATACGATCTTCAATAATTTTATAAATGTGCAAATAAGAGGGTGGATATGTATTATTATGTTTTTCGTATCGATTTTATATGGGATTACCATGGCGGTTGTAAAATGATATGATTTTCTCCACAATTTCACGAACATACATGCATATTGCAGCAAATGTACAATCATTGCAATATAATCCCTACAAAAAGACAATTTTCTTGTACATTAGTACATTCACACCCACTATAGGGGTACTTAGAATCTTCAAAGAGTGTACTTTTATTGAATTCAATAACAAAAACATAAAGAAACTAAAGGAAAAGGGTCAGAAATAGCTAAATTTCCGGAGAAATTTGGCTATTTCCGGCCTATGAAACACTTTTTTTTGAAGAACCATAGAGAAAGAAAAGAGAGGAAACTAATAAGGTTTTTTAGTTGGTATAGGCCATTATTGTCTACGAATTTAGTACTTCCTCTATTACCATAATATTATTGAATGATATGAAAACTGCAAATACTTAAAGAATGTGTAAAATCTATAGAAGATAACAAAAGCCATGTGCAGTGATTTTCCCGTGAAATTAAAATTGATAAGAGCGTAATACTATAAAGAAAAGTCCGTAAGTGTATATATTAGATATATATACAATGTCAAAGGAAAAATTAAAGAACTTGTAGAGAAACATTGCAATACTAGTATTACGACATGAAGCACGCACATAAAATAATTAAAGCGATTTAATAGTAGATGTAGTCGTCATATTTTAGATATTTATTTCATATGATAATACTTAGAAGTCTAAAACAAAAAAATACCATTGGTTAATCTTTCCAGTTAATATTTACTATAAATAATATGCTCGTATATAGTAAAATCCATGAATGTAATCGAGTTGGATCGTACTAATGATTAGAATCACATACAAGTAGATATTAGCCATATCCATGAAGAAGTTGGTTTAAGTTTCTCCAACAATTGTTAAGATAAGAAAAACAAAATAATAAGACCAGGTGAGATCTAGGGGACCATATTAGTTATGTCAACATTTGGAATTGAATTGAAAAGAAACTTCCTTAAACTTAAACTCTTGATTACAGTAACTAATTAACAGTAGTACTCGTAGTTAATTATCACGCGTTGACAGACTTGTCAGATTCATTAAATAAACAATTTACAATAAACATATTTGTATATGTTTAACACTGCAATAATAATTAATTCTGCGGTTTACTATCTAAAATTCCTCTGCTTCCGTGCTTCTCCTTGTATTGCTCATATTTTTTGAATTTCAAGTTTTTAAAAACAAAATTTTAAAATACTTTACCATCTTCATGCATGCGTAGATAAATTTGAAGGGTGTTAGCACTGAATTCAATGGTAGTATCATCATCTTATTTTGGAAAATTCTTTGCTTTTTTGTTTTAGGTTTCTAGGCCGAAGGTTCCAAATACAGATAATTACATTGAGAAGTTGATAAGATTAAGATAAAGATATCTTGATATGTACTCCATAATTGCACGAATTAAACTTGTTTGAAATAGTTGATCATGGTATTGTCCATTTCAAGAAAGTTTTAAATTAAAGTTACTTGTAGTACGGCTTGTATACTATGCCTTGGTGCAATTTCACTTTGAAGGTCCAAATTTCATTTTATCATAAATAATAAACCCTTGATCAAATTAGTGTTTATTGATTGAATATTTGAATTGTGTGATTGCTTATTGATTGTTCTGATTATGTGAAAGAGATTAAGAAATGCAAAATTCCTAGCTTGGTTGACCCATGCATTTTCCTTGCATTGGTCAGAAAATTGTAGCCAATCTTGTTTTAGTTGCCCTAGCTCCCTTACGTACATCTTAGTCCGGAATGAATTCATGTCACATGATTTAATTCAAAAACCTCTGTT